CTCAGTAACCATGATGCAGAGAGGACATTCACAAGCATATCAGCAGAAGCAGCATCCCTGCATCACAAGGTAAATCCCCCAACACACTGACAAAATACATATTACAGTACATTCACTTACAGTCTGCTGTGTTTTGTTGCTGTCATTAGATTTATTCTGACTACTGTTTATTTGATTCTTTACACTGCATTTAACCATACTGTACACTAAATGTTATTTCATGTTTTATTTCTAGGTAACGGGGGGTTCAGTTCAGAGAGGTCCAGTGCAGACTGATCCATGTCAGAGTGAACCTGCAAATGGAGATCCGGACGTCTGCATTGATGTACCCCAGACCCAAGATGAGCATAAAGGTTTGTGTGTTTTATAACTTGTGATCAAGAACGAGAAGTCTTTGTCTTAAACTTGTGCTGCAGTCATAGTATCAGTATAAAACACATTCACTATAATGAGAGGATCTACATGCAAAGAAAGAGTTAAATAATAATGATGATGATAATGATACATATTTTACATATGTACACGAGTCCTTACATAAATAAATTCTGAACATCAAATGAAGATTTATACATAAAATGGTAGTCAATTAAAAAACTTCATGGCAAACATAGCCAGTAATATATGGTACTTGTTTTCTATTTCAGATGATAAACCTCCTTGTAAAAAGAAGAAAATGTCAGCCTGGACCAGCTGTTGGGAGAAGACTTTCAAGTAAGGACGGCATCTAGATCTGTGAGGGACCAGGCCAATGAAGAAGTCAAGAGGTACAGAGAGCGTGATCCTTTGCCCCTGAACAAAAACCCCACTACAGTGGTGGAAAGAGCAACAGGACTTGCCACTGCTGTCATCTGTGGCTAAAATGTATCTGTGCATACCGGCCACCAGTGTGACATCTGAGAGAGTTTTCAGCACTGCAGGAGATACTGTTTCCACAAAACGCAGTCTACTCAAACATGAGCATGTGGATCAGCTGATTTTCCTTAAGAAAAATCTGCTGCAAAAAAAAGATGAGGACAGTGATTATGACGAATAAAAATATAATGTAGGTAAACATACAAACATAAGGAAGTGAACTACTTCACTGTGTTTGAGTTCAGATTGAACCTGACGTGAATGTAGAAATGCAGGACATTACTTTTGTTCAGACTACCTCACCAGGTCAGAAAGCTGCAGTTTGATTTCTTTTATACATGTAATCGGCACTTTGACTGTTGATATGTGCTGCTGATTATCCATGCTGCTGATCTGATCTCATGCTGCTGTTTAAATGACATGATGTTATATTAATCTGTGCCCACCTGCTCACACAAACTCATGTTCGTGCTGCTGTTGTTAGGCGTACTGTTCTTGCATTATGTTTTTGTATTATTAAGTTCAAGCTCAAGTTGTGTTTATTTGTCATATGCAAGGTTAACACAATGAAATGTTCAGGATGAGAAGAACCGATTTGACTTGCTAAAAAACAAAAAACAAGCAAACAAGAAATACTAAAGCATGCAATAAGGGTACAAAATAAACTACCAAAAAGTGAAAAAGTAATTATAATATTTACAAAGTTTCTGAAGAGAAAAATGGTAAACAACAACACTGTAGAATTTTTACAGTGAAGCAGAATGAATTTGTGTGAATAAGTATTTCAAGGTAGTAATGTAATATAAGCTAAAATGCACATGATATATATTGCACATAACTACCAAACTACGCAGGGTATGTGACAGGTTATTGCACAGGTGCTTTGTGCTTACTGAAGCTTATTCCTATTTTTTTTTATTTTTTTTTATTACATGCTGCTGTAATCATTTGTGCATTTTATAATTTTTCTTTATTTTCTCATTTTATACTGATCCCATCAAACAAAGAAATATTCTTTTAGCTGGTCTTTTTAGGTCCATGTCTAAAAATAAACACATTTGACATGTGATTCTGTTGTTTGGCTTTTTACTTTATTTTTGCCAGTGCCTTACTGCACGCTTTTAGATATGATATATGTAAACTTTTACAAATTTAAAAATAATGTAAGAATGTCACATTCATAGAAATGGCCCTTTTTGTTCATAATTAATATTTGTCTACATTCAACAAATGTTAAACTGTAGAATTATATAAAGTTGAATCGAATCGAACCGAATCGCTCTTCCACTGTATCGAATCGAATCAAATCGTTCTGTTTTTAAAATAAATCGTTTTTGAATCGAATCGTAACCTTTGTATCTAGATGCGAATCGAATCGTCTATCACACAGAGATGTACAACCCTAGGCTCAACACACATCCCTGAGGAGAGCCAGTGCTGAGGGTTATGGTGGAGGAGGATAAGTTGTGGATCCTCACTAACTGTGGTCTGTTTGTTAAAAAGTCTAGTACCCAGTTGCAAATGGAGGGGCTTAGTCCTAGTGTGGATAGTTTGTCCATCAGGGTTTGGGGGATCATGGTGTTGAAGGCGGATGTGAAGTCCACAAAGAGCATACAGACTTAAGAGTTTGTCTGCTCCAGGTGGTTGAGCGCAGTGTGGACCACAGAGGAGATTGCATCCTCTGTTGATCGGTTCTCACGGTATGCATACTGATGAGGGTCCACGTTCATGTTGATGGTTGTTTTGATGTGAGTCATGACCAGTTTTTCGAAGCATTTAGCGACTATCGGGGTGAGGGCCACTGGCCGATAGTCATTCAGACCAGTCACTGTAGAGCTTTTTGGGACTGGGATGATGGTGGCAGTCTTCAGGCAGGTGGGAACTGTCTCCAGGGTAAGTGAGGTGTTAAAGATGTCTGCCAGCACCTCACAGAGCTGATCAGCACATTCCTTCAACACTTTTCCGGGGATGTTGTCTGGGCTAGTTGCTTTGTGCGGATTAATCCTCCTGAAAGTACTCCTTACTTCTGCTGAGGTCACGCTGAGATGCTCTTCATCCGGTGGTGAGGCGAGTCTGGTGCTGGGTGGTCTGTTCGGGTTTTCAAAGCGTGCATAGAACTTGTTGAGGGCATCAGGCAGAGATGGGTCTTTGGGGCATTGTTCGCTCCTTCCTTTATAATCTGTTATGCACTTATTGCCCCTCCACATGCTCCGAGGGTCTTGTGAGATGAATTGACCCTCGATCCTCTGTGCATATGTGGCCTTGGCCTTCTTAATACCAGCAACCAGCTCTTTTCTTGTCTTACTCAGCTCCTGTGAGTTTCCAGACCTGAAGGCAGTGTTCCTGGCTTCCAGCAGGGTACGCACCTCTGCATTCAGCCAAGGTTTTCTGTTTGGGTAGCTTTTAACATTTCTGATAGTGGAGACGGTTTCAGTACATGTACTAATGTAACCAAGAACTGAGGATGTGTATTGGTCAAGATCAAGCAAACCTCCATTTTCAGAAGCTTCTCTGAAAACCTGCCAGTCTGTTCGATCAAAACAATCTCTCAGTATGGGGCCACTGTCCTGGATCCAACATTTAACTTTCTTTTGTACCGGTCTGGAGCGTCTCAGCGGGGGCATGTAAGCAGGAGCCAGGAAGATTGAGATGTGGTCTGACAGACCTAGGTGGGGGCGGGGTTTGGATTTGTATGCATTTTTTACGTTCGTGTAAACACGGTCCAGCGTCTTGTCTCCACGTGTCGGAATCGCCACATGTTGATTAAAGCTTGGGAGACAGTCCTTTAGATTCACGTGGTTAAAGTCTCAGGCTACAACGTAAAGAACCTTGGTGTGTTTGCTCTGCAGCGAGCTGATGATATCATGAAGCTCCTGCAGTGATTCATTAGCATTAGCGTCCGGAGGAATGTAAACAACAGAGATGAAAGTCACCGTGAACTCGCGGGGTAGATAATGTGGCCGACATTTCACTGTTGTTTGCTCCAAAGCCTTCGAGCATGAGCTATTTACAACAGTACAGTTCGTGCACCAACTTTTACTCACGTAAATGCACACTCCGCCTCCCCATGATTTCCCCGTTAGCTCGCTGCAGCGGTCCGCTCGAAAAAAAAAGTCTGTCATCCAGCTGGAAGACTGTATCTGGCGTTTCGCTTGTAATCCACGTTTCCGTGAGGCAAAGCACTGCACACTTCTTCATCTCCTCTGAGGCGCCCGCTCTCAGATGAAGTAAATCCACCTTGTTGTTCAACGAGCGGACGTTCGACAGAAAGAGACGGCATGGGGAGTTTATCGGCTTTAGCGTTAGATCATAGCCTCACCATAACCCCCGCCCGGCATCCTCTCCTCTTAAGCCGGGAGCAGCGCTTCCTCTTCTGCCCGCTGGAACGCCTCTGCTGCAGCTTCCAGGTAGATGACTTTAAGATCTGCATTCTGCCGAGCGTAGTTTTGAGTTTGTTGCTGATTTCTGCTATATTTCGTGGCAAATCCGCTCCTATTCTCATCAGTTCGGTTCGGCTATAGTTCACACGCATAAATCGCGCGGAGTCAGGCACAGAGTCAATATCAAAACTTCTAAAAACTGGGATGGTACCGGGAGCCTGTGAAGCTGCAACTGCTCTGAGCACGGCCATCTTGGTCATTAGTGGGGTCCTGTGGGGTATTACAATACAACTTAGTACTATCAAAAGTCAGTGGTCACTGTTCCAACAGTTCATGGTCAATAATCCAGGTTACAAATCTAACAATGTTCAGTCAGGTCATCTGGACGGTTTCTTTTTTTTTTTTTTTCTTGAGACATTTTATCTTTCATCTAAAGGACATATTCAGACTGAGAAGCCACAAGCAAACTGGAGTCCCACAAATACCACACTCCCATATTGGAAAAACACTATGGGTGTTCTTTGGTCCACTATGGGTTCTCCCATAGTGGAACAGTGGTCACTGTTCCTGACGGCGACGCAGTTTGATGGATTTCATTTGTATTTTTCCAGAATTGCACAAGGAGAAAGAAAAACCTAAAGTCGTGATGGAACCAGAATACTAACAGTCTAATAAAATCCTGTGCAATGATTATAGATGGACATCCCTCAAAACAGGAATAACTACAGTGAAAGGCTGGATGTTAGCTGATGTTAATGAGTGACTTACGTTGGAACTGCTGGTGAGAAGGACGGTAAATCCCCTGGTGGTAGTTACTGGGTGGAGGAGTGTTGCTGTACTGCCCTCCACCTTGTTGATTTCTGTTCACACTGTGACTGAAAGGAGACAAGATCTGCTGTTAAAAATCAGAGGAATACAAATTTATTCTTAAAAGGGCCAACTGTTAACATCCTGCAAAGTTCTGTCTTCTCACAATTTACTCCAAACTATAAAGACAAAAAAGAAAACGAAAGGTAGAAGGAATTAAACGCATTCCATGTTCAGACTGTCCTGCAGTGCACCAACTGGACTTTCTCATAAATTTTTTTCGTTTTTTCATTTATCCTTTATTTATACAGGTTAGTCTCATTGAGCCACGAGAACTCATTTTCAAGAGAGACCTGTTTAGGGAGCAGATTGGGGTTAAGGGCCTTGCTCATGGGCCCAGAGTGGGGCGAATGAGGGTGGGGCAGGTGTGGGTGCTTCACCTACCCCACCCACATTTTTGATGACAATACCGGGGCTTGAACCGGCGATCTTCCGCTCACAGGCCCACCTTCTCTAACCTCTGCGCCACCACTTCCCCAATAATAAAAATAATAATCTAAAAGATTTCAGATGTTCTAATTTACAGACAGACCTCAATTAAATATCTAGGCTGGACACTTTGGTTAGACCTGTTCCTGTGTAGAATTAGATAAACCTAAATAAAATTTAAATTAAAAATTTTCTTTCAGTTTTTCCCCAGCAGCTGTTTGTTCGGTACCATTGCAGCCTGATTAACTGAACATCTGAGTTCATCAGAAAAAAAATAATTCATGGTGTTTCTTCTAATCTCTGTGTGTGTGATTACTTCCTGAACAGTGAGGCTGAGCCAGATGTTCAATTATTCATATTTCCTTAATGATAATATGGACATGTGGAGGAGGGAACTCAGATCCTAATCAGGCCGCTTAATTCAGATGTTTTAAACAAGCTTTATTAAAGTCAGAGCCGAATCAGCTGCCATTGTTCTGTGATGAGCTTTATTACACAAACTGATCAAACTTCTGATTATTCTCAGAAAACTTACAAAACAGACGGCCTTTCACCGAGGAATGTTTAAAGATAATCAGTTTAGTTGTTAAAGTTTGTGTTTGAAGCAATGAACAAGCTTCATACTCACCGCTGGATGGGGGATGATGATCGTGAGATAAATAAATTGATAAATAAATATTTAAATTAAAGATAAATAAATTAAAGGGCCTTCTCCTACTCCATTCCTGTTTCCTGAAATATTTTGCAAAAAGATCTGAAGCTCTCGACCTTGACTAAGTGTCTTCAAACATCTGTTAAGTCCCTGTTTTTAGTTTTCTACACCACCTTATGGTGCTTTTGTTTCATTGTTTTAATGTCATTTTCTTTCACTTTTACTTGTTCTTCTCAATTTATCTGCTTTCTTTTATGATTGTCTTCTGTTGTCATCACTCTGTTAAAATCAGGTCTCTCTTGTAGATGAGTCCTCGAGGCTCAATGGGATTAACCTGTAGAAATAAAGGTTGAATGAAAAACTATAAAACCTAGAAATGTGCCTTTATTTACAGAGGATTTATATTTTTATGCTGTGAAAAAGTTTAAAAATTAGTTTTGGAAGCTTTATTTAAATGAAAGTTTATGACTGAATTTTAAATATGGTTGGTTCAGTTTTTAATAAGTCTGATTCACAATCGTCAAAACATAATGGTTTCCAATATTTTCTCCTAACAGATATGTTTCTGTTACAAATCTTGGAGTAAGAATGGACTCTCATCTTACATTTGAAAATCACATTAAGCATCTGTTTAAAACCTGCTTCTTCCATCTCCGAAATATCTCAAAACTTCGCCCATATCTCATTTTTGCTGATGCAGAGAAACTCGTCCATGCCTTTGTCTCCTCCAGGCTCGACAACTGCAACTCCCTGTTTACTGGAATCCCCGGCAAAAACCTTCAGAAGCTCACCACCTGTGGGAGGGACCAAAGGGGTCGGGTGCATTGTGGGATGGGTGGTGGCCGAGGGCAGGGACCCTGGCGGTCTGATCCTCGGCTACAGAAGCTGGCTATTGGGATGTGGAATGTCACCTCACTGGTGGGGAAGGAACCTGAGCTGGTGTGTGAGGTTGAAAGGTTCCGGCTAGAAATAGTCGGACTCACCTCTACGCATGGCTCTGGCTCTGGAACTGGTTTCCTTGAGAGGGGATGGACACTCTTCCACTCTGGAGTTGCCCCTGGTGAGAGGCGCCGAGCACGAGTGGGCATACTTATTGCCCCCATATCTTGGTGCCTGTGTGTTTGGGTTCACCCTGGTGAATGAGAGGGTAGCCTCCCTCCGCCTACGTGTGGGGGGACGGGTTCTGACTGTCGTTTGTGCTTATGCACCAAACGGCAGTTCAGATTATCCACCCTTTTTGGAGTCCTTGGAGGGGGTACTGGAAAGTGCACCTCCTGGGGACTTCCTTGTTCTGCTGGGGGACTTCAGTGCTCATGTAGGCAATGACAGTGAGACCTGGAGGGGTGTGGTTGGGAGGAACGGCCCCCCTGATCTGAACCAGAGTGGTGTTCTGTTGTTGGACTTCTGTGCTCGTCATGGATTGTCAATAACGAACACCTTGTTCAAGCATAAGGGTGTCCGTATGTGCTCTTGGCACCAGGACACCCTAGGCCGCAGTTCGATGATCGACTTTGTCATCGTCTCATCTGATCTGCGGCCATATGTCTTGGACTTTACTTGGAGTAAAGGAGGCCATCTTTGTGAAAAGAAATCGTCCATCGTTAAACAGGGGTGGAGGCCTACTTGTTCAACTGTCCCCCTCTTACAATGCTGTGATTGCTAGTATCACTCAGCCCTCTGTGAATAGTAAACAGCCATCAGGGTGCTAATGATCCATTGTCAGGCTGATGGTCCTTCTTGAGCATGTGATCAGCTGGTTTTGGTTGTCAGCAGCAAAACTGGTTGATCCACTCTGAGAAGGTGCTATTTAAGAGACTGAGCTGTATACAGCACCTCGGACTGAGGAAGTCTCTCGGATGAGAGACGAAACGTTTCTATATTTTTTTGCTTTGTTTTGTTTTTTGTTTTTTTGAATGTCCAGAGGACCAGATAGAACTTTTTTGGATTTTTCTACCTGGATTATTGAGCATGCATCAGGATACAATATTATTCTGTTTGTGCCGGGGGACTGGATCTTTGGGATGAACCAGTCTTTGCCGTAATGTATTTTGGGGTTTAAAAGCCACTGGGACGTTATGTTTAGAAAATAAACCTCTCAGTTTCTCTGATACTCCCTCAACATAAGGAATGACCACTGGTCTGGGTCTGGGTTCCTCCTTTTCACCTGATGGCTGACTGGAGTCCTGTTTGGGTTTCTTCTCTGCTTTCAGGAAGGCCCAGTTAGGATATCCACATTGCTCTAGAGCCTGTCTTGTGTAGGATTTCTCCTTCTGCCTGGCTCCTGAGTTAGTGGGGACGCTGTCTGCTCTGTGGTACAGAGTCCTGATGACTCCTAACTTGTGCTCTAAAGGGTGATGGGAGTCAAACTGCAAATATTGGTCTGTGTGGGTGGGTTTGCGGTACACCTCGGTTTGCAAAAGTCCTCTATCAGAGACTGAAACCTCACAGTCCAAGAAAGCCAACCTGCCATTTTTTACATCTTCTCATGTGAACTTGATGTATTTATCCACAGAGTTGATGTGGTCAGTAAAATGTTGGACTTCCTGAGATTTAATTTTAACCCAGGTGTCGTCAACATACCTGAACCAATGACTTGGTGGTGTCCCTGAAAAGGACGTCAAGGCTCTCTTTTCTACCTCCTCCATGTACAGGTTGGCAACAATAGGAGAAACTGGAGACCCCATAGCACACCCATGTTTCTGCCTATAATATTGCTCCCCATATGTGAAGTAGGTTGACTGCAGGCACAGTTTCAAGAGTTGACACAGTTGTTCTGTGGAAAGCATGGTCCTGCTGCTCAGAGTGGTGTCTGATTTTAATCTTAAACTGACCACCTCTACTGCATCATCAACAGGAATGCACGTAAAGAGTGATGTGACATCAAACGAGACCATTGTTTCATCAGTCTCCATGATGACATCCCTCACCTTATCCACAAAGTCCATGGTGTTCTGTATGTGGTACCACTTCGCTCTCAGACTGCAGGTTTACTTGTGGTTCCTAGAGTTTCCAGCAGCAAAATGGAGGAAGATCTTTTAGTTATCAGGCTCCTCTCTTGTAAAACAAACTTCCAGTTTCTGTCCATGAGGCTGACACATTGTCCAGCTTTAAGACTGGGATTAAGACTTTCCTTTTTGATAAATCCTATAGTTAGGGTTGGCTTGTTATGCTGCTATAGGCTTAGACTACTAGATGACAAATTGACCTTATTTCCTTAAATGAATTGTTAAAATTGAATAGTTTTCATTTTATACTATTTCTATCTTAACATGTGATTTTTGACCTGCCATTGTGTATCTATTCCTACCAAACCCAGCCGGTCGAAGCAGATGGCCGCTTGTCCTGAGCCTGGTTCTGCTAAAGGTTTCTTCCTCATGAGGGAGTTTTTCCTTTCCACTGTCGCCTTCATGCTTGGTCAAGATGAGTCAGTCGGAGAGTCAGTTTCTTTGTCATTTGCACCCCATGTGGTGGAACGAGATTATGTTCACAGGGTCCCAGTTACATCCAACAATAAAATGTACAATAAAAACAGTAATAGCATCTAAGATATGAACTAAGAAAAACATTAACTAAAAATACACTAAGCACTAACAGCATAAAAACACAATACACTGAACAGCAGCACGGACATGAGTCTGTGTGAACAGATGAGCACGAATGAACACAGCAACATGAAACAGATAATAATAATAATAATATTGTCATCACAATGTCAGCACTGTATGTTTCCATACAATGGCGAAATAAGTCTCTGCATTTAACCCATCCACCACCAGGTGGTGCAGTGGGCAGCTATTGAAGGCGCCCGGGGGGCATTTTGGGGATGAGGCGTGCTGCCCAGAGACGCCACGTGATGTGCAGTGACTGGGGATCGAACCTGGGACTTTCGGGTCCCAAGCCGGCTGCCCTGCCTCTACACCATCTCAGCCCCCATAATATCAGCAGCAACATGAAACAGATCAGCAGCAACATGAACCAGATCAGCAGCAACACAAAACAGATCAGCAGCAACACAAAACAGATCAGCAGCAACACGAAACAGATCAGCAGCAACATGAACCAGATCAGCAGCAACATGATGTGATTTTTCACAGTGATTATTCTGGTTAGAGATTCATGAGTCTAACAACCTCAGGGTAGAAGCTGTTCCTCAGTCTAGTGGTTCTACACTTAATGCTCCTCAACCTCCTTCATGAGGGGAGCGGGGGGGAAGCGAGAGTTCTGTGATGGAGTTAAACTCAAAGCAGTCTGTTCCTCACATAAATAATGTTAAATTCTTATTTTTATATATGAATATTTCTGTTCAGTGTCATGACACGACTTCTGTTGTGACTTGGCGGTACATACATAAAGTGAATTGAATTGAATAGATACAGTGAACAGGAGGATATCAATTTACCGGAGGGCTCTGAAAGCTGACTGGTCCAGGTGAGCCTGTGGTCTGTTCGGGTTGAAGCCCAGCTGGGGTCTCCACGGCTCCCGGTTCCTTCTCTCCCAGTCCTCCGGCTTCAAAACCTTACTGGGAATCCTGCAGAACAAAGATGAAGCATCAAAGTCCATGCTCAATAAACCAGGCATACAAAAAGATGAAGCACATTTCCTTCTCAGGATGGAGGAACATTTGGGGCTGCTTCTCTTTAAATGTGAAATATTAAAATCTATTTTCATATATTTGTAAATAAAAGAAACAGCCAAAGTGGGTCTATGTCCTACAGACACCTTTGAGATTTTTTTTTTCATTCATTCAAATTTTATTTCTACAGGCTAGTCTCATTGAGCCTCGAGGACTCGTTTACAAGAGAGACCTGTTCCAGACACACCATATAAGGTACAGACAACAACAATAACAGTAAACTATACCATACCATACCACTTTATTTATAAAGCACTTAAAACAGCTACAAGGCCAACCAAAGTGCTGTACAGACAGAACAACAGGTAACACACAAAGCAAAATACAAAATGAGGTAAATCAGAATATAGACATAAAAACGATGCATATAATGACGACAAACCAGTGTAGAGCATAAAGGATCAAAACACAGATCATCTGGTGTCCCAGATTAGTGACTCTTTGTTTTTCTGACAGGGTTAGAGCGGAGAGGTCGATGCAGTGGTTTGTGATCGTGTCGTTGGGAGGAAAGAACACGACTTCAGACTTCTTTTCATTAAAACTTAAGAAGTTTAAAGCCATCCAGTCCCTGATGTCAGCCAGGCAGTTGAGCAGCGGTTGAATAGAGCATGTACCATTGTGTCTTAGGGGGAAGTAAATTTGACAGTCATCGGCATAGAAGTGGAAGGGCATGTTGTGTTTCCGGAAAATAGCACCAAGCAGCACCAATTGAGGACTGATCCTGTGACGCCCACCCACTGCTCCAACCTAGCAATGAGGATCTCATGGTCGATGGTGTCAAAGGCGGCTGTGAGGTCCAACAGGACAAGCAGCACAGAATCACCGGTATCTGTGAATCTGAAGATGTCGTTAAAGACCTTCAGCAGGGCAGTTTCAGTGCTGAGGAGAGGTTTAAAGCCAGATTGGAAAAGCTCTAAGATGGCGTGATCCTCCAGGAAGCACGTCAACTGGGACTCGAATATTTTCTCCAGTACTTTAGAAACAAATGGGAGTTTGGAGACAGGCCGGAAGTTGGACATGACTGAGGGGTCAAGGTTTGTTTTTTTCAGGAGAGGCTGGACGGCAGCACGTTTAAAGGTTTTTGGCACCACGCCAGTGGATAAACTGCTGTTTACTATGGCAAGAATGGACGGACCTAGAGTTGGAAACACCTCCTTTAGTAGTCGAGGGGGGACCACATCAAAGGGAGAACCAGAAGGTTTCAAGTTGCACATGACCTGCTCTAGAGAAGATAGAGTGATGGGTTCAAATGGTCAAAATGAGCTACAGATTGAGGTGGGATGATGGGTCATGAGTTGGAGGGGAAATGAGAGCCCTGGTGGTCGCAATTTTTTCCAAAAAGAAATGTAAGAAGTTCTCGCACAGCTCAGTCGAGGCTTCCAGAGGTGATGGTTCAGTGAGGTGGAGAACAAAGTTTAGGGTGGAGAAGAGGACACGTGGGTTGTGAGAGTTTGAGGTAATTATATCAGAGAAGTATTTGGATTTAGCAGCTTTTACTGTTTTCTGATAACGGCACCAACTCTCTTTAAGTATTTGAAAAGAGACCTGCAGCCTGTCTTTCCTCCACTTTCGTTCCGCCCTCCTACATTGCTGCCTAACGGCCTTGGTGACGTCACTCAGCCAAGGTTCTGCTCTCAGTTTTATTTTCTAGTTTTAACAGGCGCAACATGATCCAGAGTCTTTAATCAGACAGAGTTGAACTGGGATGTCAGCTCCTCAGTGGTGGTGAGAAACACTGGGGGCTGAATTATCATTTCAGAGTTATAAACATCTGTGAAACGTGTGGCAATGACAACAATAAACTACAGTAAAAATGCAGTTAAAATAAGAGTAGAGTATAAAACAATAAATCAGGGTGCTGTAAAACAGCGTCTTGTAAAAAGACCTGAAGCTCTCGACCTTTGACCTCTCTAAGTGACTTTAAGAATCTGTTGGACTCCTGGCAGGGACCAATGCAGACATGTTCCTGTTTTTAGTTTTCTACATTCACCTTAGAATCTAGCTGTTTTTTGTTACCTTTTTCTTTTAGCCATCCTATTTGTTTAAAAAAAAAAAACTGGAGTATGACTTTTGTTAACCGTTTATTGTTGTTGCTGTTGTCCATTGTTGTCATCTTTCTTTGTTGAAATCAGGTCGCTCTTGTAAATGAGTCCTCGAGGCTCAATGGGATTTTCCTGTCTAAATAAAGGTTGAATGAATGGACTTTTTTACTTTGTTCAACACGACTCGTCTAAATGATGTTTCTCATGAAGCTTGAGGACAATAAGGTGTGGGGTTTTAAAGACATTTCAACTTTAATGCACCTGAACACACAGCGTCTCTTACACCTGCAGCGTCTCACAGTGTCAGTTACTGCTAAGCTAAGATGCTACAGATGTAGCGCTCCACTTCTCTCCTCCTAATATGAATATGTTTATGATCAACCCCCTGGTCAACAACTGCCCACACTAAGCTGCTAAACTGGCGAGCGCGTAACACAGGTACCTCCACCTCCTCCACCTGTGCGCGTTTTCTGCCGAGGCAAGAGGCAGGAAGGGACGGTGGAGAGCTGGAGGTAACCAGGAAAACCTGGAGTGGAGTTTTAGTGGCCTGAATATTCTCCTATTAATCAAGTGGAATGGATTTGTTCACGAAGAAAGCGAAACTGCGCCGCCTGAACTAATATTTTATAGTAAAAGTGGGGGGGTCCAAATGAACGTTTTTTTGAATGTGGGGGGGACTTGTCCCCTTCACATATAACGGTTGCAACGCCTATGATTAAATGACCTTCATCACAGTACAGTTAGCTCTCATTGTGTTTCTAAATGTAATCAAGATGAGCTCATCGTTGTTGTTAAAACAACATGTAAAACTGAGTTGAATGAGATATTTATGATCAACTGCAAACACCTGAAACTGATTCTCTCGCTTCATGAGTTGAAGGTAAACGAATAAAGTTCACAGAAACAAAGCTCTCTGCTATAATGTGGTCTTAAATATCCGTCTGTGAACGTTAATATTCATTTAGATTAAGTAAAGCAGTAGAAACAGCCTCTCTGACCGAGACAGGAACTCAGTAGGGTCCCACAGCCTGTCTCTCTCTGTATATCTGTGTGTCTCTCCGTCTTTCTCCCTCCCTCTGTGTGTCTCTCTGTCTGACCGTCTCTATTTTTCCTCCCCGTCTCTCCCTGTATTTCTCCTTCATCCTCTCTCTCTCTGTCTGTCTCTATTGTCCCTGGGCGTGATAATGGACCCTTCCCTGAAACTTAACAATCATGTAAACATGATTGTTAAATCCTGCTTCTTCCAACTGAGGCGGCTGTCTAAACTGAAGCCCATATTGTCCAAAAAGAACCTGGAGACAGTAATACATGCATTCATTACATCTAGGCTTGATTACTGCAATTCACTCCTGTTTGGTATCAGTCAGACCTCCATTGCACGACTACAACTGGTCCAGAATGCAGCAGCCCCATTTTTAACCAGTACAGGCAAAAGAGAGCACATTACACCAGTTTTGGCCTCACTGCACTGGTTACCGGTTCACTTTCGAATCCAGTTCAAAATACTCATGTATGTCTACAAATCACTGAACAGTGTCGCCCCCCCATCTCTCTGATCTGCTACAACCGTATGTCCCACCATGTTCCCTGAGGTCAGCGGACCAGTTGCTCCTCACAGTTCCAGGAACTCGTCTTAAGCGCAGAGGTGACAGGGCCTTCTCTGTAGCAGGACAAAGACTTTGGAACGAGTTACCTCTGCTTGTCAGACAGGCCCCCTCCCTCTCGGTTTTCAAGTCCCATTTAAAAACCCACTACTATTCAGTAGCTTTCAACACAAGATGATCTGTGTTTGATCCTGTATGCTCCACACTGGTTTGTCGTCATTATCTGCATCATTTTCATGTCTATATTCTGATTTACCTCATTTTGTATTTTGCTTTGTGTGTTACCTGTTGTTCTCTGTACAGCACTTTGGTTGGCCTTGTAGCTGTTTTAAGTGCTTTATAAATAAAGTGGTATGGTATGGTATTTTTCTCTCTCCGTCTCCCTCTCTCACATTAGGGGTGTAACGGTACGCTAAAATCACATTTCGGTTCATTTTCGGTACAAAAGACGACAGACTTACAAAATGTTTATTTTGAAAATATGCCAAGTAAACAATAAGTTTGTATGAAAATAAATAAAAGTGATCCATTTGGATGATATTTTAAATAAACAGCACTCTTTACAATAAATAAACTATACTAACAATAATAATCTTAATAAATACAATAACAGTCAGAAGCAGAAGCAGAACAATAAGCAGCAACAGATTGTTTACAATCTAACTAATCAAGTTTGAAGTTTTTGTCCAAAAAGACCAACTTGTCCAGATTTTCTACCAAAACCTCAGATCTAGTTGCAGTGAATCTCTCCAGCGGTGGAGAAAACCTCTCACTAACAACAGTAGCAGGAATAAAGAGGTAGAGATTTGATCATGTTGCAGTGTGGCTGGATGTGGCCTCATTATTAGTCACAACCTCTTGGAGCTGCTCCCACAGGCGGGACAAGTCCCTGGAAAAGTTCAGAGTTCACTCATCACACACTTCTTAAAGCTGGAGGTGATCTCTGGTGGATTTCCCTGAAGAGAAGACTCAGCTGCTATCTCTGTCCCAGACTGGAAATAAAACACAAAGAGGTAAAAAAATGAGTTAATAAGATTATAATTTTAAATAAAAAAGTTAATTAGATAATAATAATAATAAAATAATACCTTTTTTTGAAAGATCGTCATTTATTATAAGGTAGTTGAATCTCTTGGTCATCATCATCATCAGGGCAGGGCTTTATTCTGGTCCAGGGCTTGTTGACAATCAGTTTTAGCTTTTTCATAAAGTGCTGCTACAACTTTTTGGCTGAAGTGTTGACATGATAATAATAATAATATTAATAATGTCATCACTGTATGTTTCCATACAATGGTGAAATTAGTCTCTGCATTTAACCCATCCACCACCAGGTGGTGCAGTGCAGCTATTGAAGGCGCCCAGGGAGCATTTTGGGGATGAGGTGTGCTGCCCAGAGACACCACACAGTACGCAGTGACCAGGGATCGAACCTGGGACTTTTGGGTCCCAAGCCGGCTGCCCTGCCTTTAAACCATCTCGGCCCCCTGTCGTAACGGGGCTCAAGAGCTTTAATCATACGCTTAAAGTCGGCGCATCAGCAACATTCAGACGTTGATCCAGAGCTTTAAAAACTCCTACATCTTGTGTTATTGCTCTGGACCGATCTGAATTACCTGATGAAGGTTGTTTAAACGCTGCTGTTATTGGTCTTTGCAACAAACTACGTTCACGTTCAGATGATGTCGTTTCAAGAGCGTTAACAAGTTAGATGTGTTGCTGCTGCAGATCCAATCTCCGTGAAACAACGTCGACACACAGCTTTGGATTTGTTCACTTGTCTTTTAACAAGAAAGACATAATGTTCCCAAACAAGAGACCGCAACGACATGCTAGGCTGCTAATGCTACGCGTGCTGCAAGGTAAGAATGCCGTGTTGAAACACGCTTAGGAACTTTAGTTCCGTGGCGCATAATCTCTCGTTGATAAAATTTAATGAGTGAAAAAATAACCAAAACGGTTCAATACACCCACATGTACCGTTACACCCCTGACTCACATCCATAGTTGGATCTGTCCATTTAATGTTTGACAGAAATATTAAATATTCAAGTGGAATGAGCAAAATGAAAAACTGCTTCCACAGTCAAGAAGTTCAGTATTTTATGAATGAATTCCAGAAAGAAAACGTTCTTACTTTGCTCCAGGCAGGAGGACTGCTTTAAACACAAACTCTTCAGAGAACTGAGGGTCCTTGAACTTCACACTGCACAGAGAACACAAACACCACCTTCAGCACACACTTTATTAGAGATAAAAAAGAAAAAACAGTTCTCATTCAATGCCTTCCTCAGTGGCTAATTTCAGAACACAAACAGAAAAGTCTGTAAAAAATAAACAAAAAAACAGCCACTATGTCCAGTTCATCTCTGGGATCAGTCCTAATCCAAGGGAACAGCGAGGGTCCTGGAAAAACTGAAATGCAAGTTTATCTACAGGTGCATGTAGATAATTAGAACATCGTAAAACAGGTCGTTAAGTGAAACTCATAGCTTCATCGCACAGGCTGGAATATTTCAGCCTTTATCGTAAATTTGATGGTTAGAACTTACAGAGAATGAAAAACTAAAACTCAGGAACTGAGAATGTTCCAGAACCAGCTGCTGGAACCTTTGTCAGTGTCAGAGTCAGAGATTCTTTATTGTCATTCGCACCTCATGTGGTACATGTGGTGGAGCGAAATTATGTACACAGGGTCCCAGTTACATCAAACAATAAAATGTACAAGAAAAACAGTAATAACATCTAAGATATGATTTAAGAAAAACATCAACTAAATATACACCAAGCACTCATAACATAAAACATTGAACATCAGCACAAACATGAACATGAGTCTGTGTGAGCTGATGTGCACGCATGAACACATCAACATTGAAACAGATCAGCAGCAACATGAAACAGATCAGCAGCAACATGATTTGATTTTCACAGTGACCATTCTGGTTAGAGATTCACGAGTCTAACTGCCTCAGGGTAGAAGCTGTTCCTCAGTCTAGTGGTTCTACACTTAATGCTCCTTAACCTCCTTCCTGAGGGGAGTGGGGCAAAAAGTGTGTGTGCTGGGTGAGTGAGGTCCTTCATGATGCAGGTGGCCCTCTTCCTGCATCTGGAGGTGTAGATGTCTGTGATGGTGGGGAGGATGACTCCAACATCTTCTGTGCAGCCTTCACCACTCTCTGCAAAGCTTTTCTTTCTGCAGCTGTGCAGCCTCCATGCCACACGTTGATGCTGAAGCACAGGATGCTCTCCACTGCACACCTGTAGAAGGAGGTGAGGACTGAGCTTCCCAGACCAGCTCGTCTGACAGCCGTCAGTGTGGACCAGAACCAGCAGAGGATTTGGACCCAAACCATCTCTGGCTGTGGACTTCAGAAAACCCAGTGGACCAGAACCAGCAGAGGACATGGACCCAAATGATCACCGACTGTGGAAACTTCACTCTGGACTTTGTGGAGTCTGGACCTCTCCACTCTCCTCCAGACTCTGTGACCTTGATTTATAAATCTTTCATGTGAAAAGAGGACACTGGACCACAGAGACTGTCCAGTTCTTTGTGTCATCAACAGGTAAGATACTTCCGATGTTGTCTCTGATTCAGGAGTGGCTGGACTTAAGGAATGTGACATTTTATGTCCAGGAGTTCATCAGCTGATCAGGCTGACACACCAGGAGTTTACACAACTGACCCTCTTCACAGTATTCTCATTTTTTGAGACACTGACTTTTGAGTTTTTATGATCTGTAAGCAAAGTTCCCTCTAATTTTCCAGATGGGCAGGCCAATGTGCTCTTGTCTCTCCTATTCAGGTTATTCCAGCCGAGAAAACCTCCCAACATGCTAAACCCTGGAGTCATGTGAAAAAGGCGAGCAGATGGAGGTTCACCAGTGTGGACAGATGCGATCAGGATACCGCGAGGGGTGCCGGACGAGCATAAACTCACAAATCCAATTGAAGCTGGTTCTATTTCGTATAGGCTTCGCCCTTTAAGAGCTGTCGCTGATGGGTTTTATCCCGTTATGCGAAGCATCACACTGAAAAGTTTAGTCCACGCTCACCTGCTGTGTGGGCCCCACCCGGTCCGTATAAGTTACGTTAAGAGCGGGTAATCGGCTCCCATTTTTCTTCAGCGAGCTAATAGCACTGTCAGAAGAAGGAAGAAGGAAAGTTGTGTAGATGACCAACCTTTGTTAAGAATGCTTGGCCCGTCACGTCAACCTCCTGTCATCCCGGTGAGCTCTCCTCCCTGAGGAGAAGCTGACGAGCTGTCTTGTTTCAAGGTAAGCGCCGAGGAGTATTTCTCAGTGACAAGTCGCTACACGCTGGTCAACGCCATCTTATAATTTTCCTTTTATCGCCGACCTCGGAGCGAATCGGATGGTTCCTCCGGGACAGGCGACGTCAGCAGCAGCCCCCGCTGCTCCTTCCCTCCTGGAGAGCGTAGTGTCGGTGGAGGGGGGCTGAGCGAATGCTCACCTCATCCCACCTCGTTTGGCATCGGCGATCACACCGCTCCCAGCCGACGGCACCCTCTGGAGTTTGCCCGGCTTAACCCAGGAGACGGCTGACATGAAGGGACCTTTTTTACATCCCGTGCCTTTCCCGCCAGTTTCAGATGATCCAGCGGGACGGTTTTCTGGGCTCTACTCCGGCTCGTCATCTTGATCTCTGGCCTCGCCTTCCCAGCGGTGACGTCCTTCTGGGACGAGGCTGCAGCCGGTCCTGGTAGAATAGGGTGCCGGTTCCCACATCCGCGCCCATCACCAGAGTGGAGTGGTTTCACCGAGCGAGAATCCCCTCAGTGCCCCCGGGAGCTGAGCCTGATGGAGGCTTTTCTCGGAGCAAGATGTCCAAGTTGGACCAGCGTCCCGCACCTCCGGTTAGCGTAATCCAGATGGTGACACCGCTCTCCAACCGAGCACACCAGCATGCGTTTTCCAGACGGCCGCAGCGAACAACACGTTACGCTGTTGGCATACACGTCAGAGGCGGGAGGAGACGCACGCTCATTCTGCAGGGCAGCTGACGTCATCCTCAATCGGTGCGCCTCCTTTGCTGTCTGCCAGCCCGCGCGCTCCAGATGGATAGGTGAACCGTTATCAGCAGGGGATTCACGCTGCAGTACAGCTCAAACCCCGGTACGGAGGAATTCTAGTGACGTTTTCTGTCATTTCTAGAACAGATCTCGTCCCATCTCGCAGAAGCTCAGGAAATTCGGATTAAAATGTAATTTCCAGGGTCTCAGAAGGAGAGGAAAACACAGGGTTCCTCTCTCGTCACTCCCTGGTCCCAACGAACCGGAAAGATGAGATTTATTCTAGATTTGTCAATTTTGAACTGTGAGAAACAACACTCCATTAATGTGCCTGAGCCGCTCTGCAGCCGCAGCACAGAGCAGGGAGGAGAATTCTGCTTTATCTGGACATCTGCTACTGCTGACCAGTTTTTCCAAACAGATGGCAGCAGTGCAACTCACGTAAAACCGGCAGTGACATCAGCTGTTTTCCGTCAGCAGACCTACGTCATACATGTCACTTCACAGAGGCACATACATTTAACGAGCTGTGGGGGCGCTGTGGTTCTCCACACAGCAGCTCATTTAAATGTTTTTTGGAGTATCGCAAGGGTTTTTGAATGTGATCCAACATTTTGCTTCTGTGCTGCGGAATCATCAGGGTTTTTGATTCACACAGACAGCAAGTGACTGTCGCATACATAACCGGCAGGAGGTGTATGCGCTCAACCCATGTGCCACATTGTGAGACAGATGTTGTGTGGGGCACACCAAATCTGCTCTCCATCAGAGTAGTGTTTATCTCCTGTGTTCTGAACAGGGGGCGGATGTGATGTCCAAAGACGGTTTTTGCAGCACGAGGACCGGGGACCTCCCATCCAGACCTGATGGCTCAGACGCGGCAGAAATCCTGTGAGCGGTTGTGGACCTGTTGCAACACGAGAGAACGCTCAATGTCAACTATGGTTATCATTGAGCCCACGAGACGAACTACCGCTAGGGGTAGACGCGTTTGCTCACAGCCTGTGGTCGTAATGCTTCTTCACTTCCCTCACTCCCTCTGATATCATGGTTTTCAATGGACCGAGGTCAGGAGGAGGGACTGACAGCTCTTCTCTCCCAAGTGCGTGAACGCATCATGGTCCCCAGTCCTACGACACCTGTTATCTGGGCGTTCGTGGAATTTGCCATGGAGGGAGGACGCTCTCCTCCAGGCGGGAGGAGCAATCAGGAGTTACCCAGAATAGGCCAGCACCTTTGGTCTGGCCGCTGAGCGGATTAATTTAGAGAGGATGAGTCTCTCTCAAGATGTAGTGCGTACAATTCAGGATTCACGTGCTGCAACCACCACAGCGCTGTTCACATCAAGTGGACAGCTTTTCAGCGCGGCTGTACAGAGAAAGATGTAGAGGCCATTTCATGTCCACTAGGTGGTGTGCCGTCCTTTCTGCAGCAGCTGATGGACAGAAATCTGGCGTTCAGCACGATTAAACGTATGCTACAGCCATCTCTTCTTGTCACAAGGTTTTCAGGGTCAGAACAGTTTTTAATCATCCGCTGATGAAGCGTTTTTTAAAGGTGTTCAAAGACGCAGGCCTGTTTTCACACCCACTTGCTCCACAGTGGGATTTAACGCTGGTCCTGCGAGTCCTGATCTAGGCTCCATCTGAGTTACTGAATCAGGTTCCAATTAAATTCTTGTCTCTTAAAACAGCCCTGCTGCTGGCTTTAACATCCGCTAAGAGGGTGAGAGATTATCTGCCTTCTCTGTCGCCCCGTCGTGTCTTGGAACTCGGGCTGATGGCAGCTCAGCTGATCTAAGACCAAATCCAGTTTTATGCCTAAACATCACAAACTCTTTAAATTAAGAGTGATATCGTTGGAGACCCCCCCCCCCCCCCCCCCCCCCCCCCCCCACCACACACACACACACACAATCAGAAGCATCTTTTCATCTTTGTCCTATGCGGGCGTTGACGTGTTACATAGCGTGCACAGCTGCAATGCGTTGTGCATTATAGAGATGCATCTGCAGGTCGCCTGTTATCCACCCAGCGCTTGTCACACTGGCTGTGTGAGGCCTTTTCTGAAGCCTACAGAGCATCAGATTTAGAGCCTCCGGTCAACCTCAGGGCGCACTCGACCAGAGGTATCGCATCTTCGACTGCTTTCCATAATGGTATGACAATGCAGGATATTTGCACTGCGGCTGCGTGGTCAACACCCTGCTCATTCATTCGCTTTTATCTACGTGATGTGACGGCTCGTTCCATGACACATTCTGTCCTTAGTGTTTACAGAATGAATATTGTTGTTTCATGGAACTCCGTTTTACTCACATCTGTCTGCATGCATTACAGTGTGAGATGTTATCAGTCACAAGTTGTATCTGTTATTTGGTTCTATTGTCACTAATCAGTTCATGACTATTGTTACCAATCAGTTCATTTGATTATAATCAGTTCACTTGTTATTATTAATCTGTTCATACTGTTCAGCCATGAATCAGTTGGTTCATGGCCCCCCTTTCTCAACATCTTTCCTCCCCGTTGAAGTTTCCGGGGCGTTCATGCATTCAGAACGCATAGTTACACAACATGCGTCTGTGCATGGCACACATAATTACGCAATGAGTAATTACGCACATGGGGAGCTGAGTGACAAGACGTTTTTTGGGCAAGCTTCTGCTTCATACGGTGTTCGAATGGACCCAGTGAGGCGAGGACCACATCTGCTTCGCCCTTAACCCACTAAGCGACAGCCTTAAAGGGCGAAGCCTATACGAAATAGAACGTTGGTTACGTACTGTAACCCCAGATTCTATGAATATAGGCGTAGCCCTTTAAGCGTCGGGCCTCACTGGCTCCTAAGTGGCTGAAGAAAAAGCTATTTGGGAGCCGATTACCCGCTCTTAACGTAATTTATACGGACCGGGTGGGGCCCACACAGCAGGTGGGCGTGGACTAAACTTTTCAGTGTGATGCTTCGCATGACGGGATAAAACCCATCAGCGACAGCTCTTAAAGGGCTACGCCTATACTCATAGAATCTGGGGTTACAGTACGTAACCAACATTTTGAGAACTTACCCATAATAAATGCTGCTTTTTCAATAACCCCTTATCAATCAACCTTTATTTATACAGGTAAATCCCATTGAGCCTCGAGGACTCATTTACAAGAGAGACCTGATTTCAACAAAGAAAGATGACAACAATGGACAACAGCAACAACAATAAACAGTTATAAAAACTCATACTACAGTTTTTTTTGTTTTTTTTTTAACAAATAGGATGGCTAAAAGGAAAAAGGTAACAAAA